TATCAAAGAAGTATTCTTGCAGTAGTAAAGTAACAGCCTATACACCTCTCACTGCTGGGCAAAGGCCTCCTCTATACAGAGGGTATCAGGGCATAGTCCACCACGCGGCCCCACTGCGGATTGGCGGACTTCAAATATCTTCACATATTTTCAATTTTTTTTTTGTTATTATTTCGAAAATATGCAGGTTTCCTCACGATGCTTTCCTTCACTGCGGAGCACGTGATAAGTCAGCACTTAAAGTTAAAAACTTCATTGGTGCCGGCACCGGGGATCGAACTCAGGTTGCTCGAGTCTATTGAATTAACGGCGAGCGGCCGGACACTGAGCTATCACGGCTCTGCAGTAGTTATAATGGGTTTATAAAGATCTAACTCTAATAGACTTGTTCAATTTCTATGTAAATGTACGCTACAGCATAAACAGGACGTCGCACTCATATAACGATGCTTTTTTTATTTTACTTAGCTGAGATCCTTTTTTGTTTTGCTTCTACATTTGCTAAGGATATCATGGACGTCATGACGAGTTCTTGAGAATTCTTCTTGAATCTTAAGTCCTTTGAATCATTACCCTTTACTAAACGTACTAACGTTACAAATATTTCTATTGAATATCAAAACTTAATGGTTTTGTTTTCTATACTTTCTAATAAAAAAGGTATATTATAGGTACCAGTAGCCAAGAGTAAAAAATCCTTAGCCACATTTGGAAAATTATATTTTCCCGTAGAATTTTTCTGTGTAAATGTAGAAATGGGAATATATACATTATACCATGAAACATTTAAAAAGGTAGGTACTTTATTTTTATATTCTCGCCCAATAGCAATATTTCCGCGGAACAGTATCCGATAGAATGACTTAAACGATAACATTATATTTTAGTATCGATAGACGTGATTGTGCCCAGCGTGACGAGTTAATCGATTCGAGACTATCGTAATCGATTTCGCCCCTACCTTGCGATTGGTTAGCAATTTCCACTCATTTGTTGCGTCGGGAATAATGATGCCATAGGCGACCTTGCGATTGCCGCTAATTAACATTGCCGATTATGACCAATCGGTTGATAAAAGGGGTAATGTTTCACTCGATTATATATATACAGATATCAGCGTTGATTTCTTAGGGCTCCGTACCTAAAGTAAAACGGGACCCTATTTCTAAGACTCCGCTGACCGTTCGTCTGTCACCAGGCTGTATCTAATGCACCATGACAGTTAGACAGTTGAAATTTTCACAGATGATGTATTTCATCACATAACAAAAACAGAATAAAAACATTTAAGTGGGGCTCCCATACATCGTACATCATTTTTTTGCCGTTTTTATAGATAACGCTACGGAAACCTACGCGCGTGAATCCGACCCGCTCTTGGCCGGTTTTCATTATTGGTAACACACGAGCGGGCGCTCCATTAGAGTAAGTAAAGGCCCATATACACGGTGCCAGTTTCTTGCCTGTTGTATACAATTAAATTGAAGCAATAAATGAGTTGCATGGTCTAAACAAGAAATGGTCTAAACAATTATTGCGCGCAATTTATTGCATTCAATTATTGCTCTTGTATGTTCAAGAAAATGGCATCGTGTAAATGGGCCTTAAAGGACCTCTCTACCTCAATCACAAGACGAATGGCAAATGTATGGCACTTCCACTTAACGTCGGCCTTCTTCGGGGACGTGGTACTTTCCCGGAAGTTCCTGCCCATTCGTCCAACAACAGAATCTGTTGCGTGGCCTTGCCACTGAGACCTCATCCTTATTAAAATTCATTTATTATACCCACTGCGTTATAAATTCTTCTGTAAAAAAATAAGGTACCAGTCTAAACAGTCCCACAGCTAGGCAAAGGCGTCCTCTGTGATAAAGTAGAAAATGGGCTGGTGGTTCACCTGATGTTAAGTGATAACCACCGCCCATGGACATTTGCAAGACCCATAGGGTTGCTACCTTTAAATAAAGCGGGACTCACCAGACGAAACGCAGAAGTAAAACACTTCTACTTCACGCCGGTCTCCTGTGAGGCCGTGGTAGTAACCTGGACGGACCTGCCTATTGTGGGCCTACCACAGGTATAGCTAGGGCATAATCCATCATACGACCCCACTGTGGATTTAATCAATTTTAATTTAATTATTAGTCCTAAAAAGTAATAAGAAAAAAAAATATTTCGAAGATACGTGAAGTTCGCGCATCCACAGTGGGGCCGCGTGCTGGACTATGCCCTGATTGCTTCTGTAAAAAAGAGGAAGCCTTTGTCCAGCAGTGAGATATGTATAGGCTTAATAGATGTATATGGTATAGCATAAGAGATATGTATAGCTTAATAATTATATGTATAGACTTCGCTTACTTTAATGCTATAAAAAAAACAATTACATGCACCCAAACAGTTACTTCCCATTCCTTGCGAGCTACCGCGAGAAAACCGCAAGATATACGAATACGAGACCAACAATGGTGTCATTTCCTTACAGCGCCGGACGCTTGAGAGCCGCGGTATCGACTTACAGGCTACACCGGCCTTAACACTGGTTAATTGAGTCGGAGGTCGGACGGCGTCTTTCGGTAAACGAGCGGCGGGCATCTCAACTCGTCCGGATATTCTAATGCCCGCTGAGAACATATACGTCCTTCGTGCTTCTCAATTAGTTATTTTCGTTTACAATGTTTTTTTTTTCGTCGTGGAAATCTAAGCTCGAATTAAGCCCATAGCGCGTAAATGTGACAAGCTATGAAGTTGACTAGCGACCCGCCCCGGCTTCGCACGGGTGCAATGTATTATACATTTAAACCTTCCTTCTTGAATCACTGTATCTGATTAAAAAAAACCGCATCAAGATCCGTTGCATAGTTTTGAAGATCTAAGCATACATAGGGACAGACAGACAGCGGGAAGAATTTGTTTTATACTATGTAGTGATGGCTAATAGTAACTGAACGTATACTTAAACATGGCCAGAACGAAAATGACAATAGGTCAACATTTTATCTTTTATATAGGGATATAAGTGAAAGTTTTTTTCAAAAAGGTACGCGAAATAGTTTATTGATTCCACGATATGGATTACGCCATTCCACGAGATATATTCCACGATTTGTTAAATTCTTGATACGTTAAATGTTTGTGTAGAATAAGTCACACAATTAAAGTATAGGTATTTTAAGTAAAGTAAGTAAAGTAAAGTAACAGCCTACACATGTCCCACTGCTGGGCAAAGGCCTTCTCTATACAGAGGGTATCAGGGCATAGTCCACCACGCGGCCCCACTGCGGATTGGCGGACTTTACATATCTTCGAAATATATTTTTTTTGTTATTATTTCGAAAATATGCAGGTTTCCTCACGATGTTTTCCTTCACCGCGGAGCACGTGATAAGTCAGCACTTAAAGTTAAAAAGTTCATTGGTGCCGGCACCGGGAATAGGTATTTTACCTATTTATAATATATTTGTCAGTCAGTCATAAGTAAAATTATCAAAGATGATGGTGATGGCAGATAAAAAGTATTATTTTTACTGTATCTATTTAATTCAAGTGATAACTATCAGCCTATCGTTAATATGCGAATGATAAAAACAAATAAAAGATGAAAATGCATGATATCAATTTGTTATCTACTAATCCCAAGAATCAGCTCTTTGCTTGGTTGTTTTACAAAAACAAGATACATAAACTTTTGTACCTATTTACATAACTCAAGTATTATATTATATACATAAGTTCTGTCAAATGTTTATTGTGAAATAATTCACACATGTTTGTTTTTACAGTGGCCATTTATATAGCAAAAGGAAGTTACTAATAATTTTCAACAAAAACAAAAAGCCGACTTCAAACAGGAAACTAATAAAACATTGTCAACACTAAAAGCTCACTGCTTCAAAAAGATTTCAAAGGATTTTCCTATCAATCAGCCAAACGATTGGTTTTTTATGTGAGAAAGTGGCAAACGAGCTGGCGGTTCACCATCTGGTTAACAAAAAACGGGTGATCGGTGATCAGTTAAGTGGCAACCGCCGCCCATGGACATTCACAACACAGTCACATTTTAATAAAGTTTACCCCGGCTACCTCACTCAATTACCTCCGCCGATCGTTTTACTAACCCGAACGGACCTGCCCATTCGTGCAACAGCGAACACTGTTGCTATCACGGTTTAGCCGGTTATTTGCTTGAGCAAGTTTCCTAACACTTCATTGTTAATATAGCACTTACCCTTATCAAGTCACTTTAATCTTGCCTATACTTAATTGCCCTTAACTGTACAAGTTCATCCGATAGAGCTTGACCTAAATAAAATAGCCTCAACAGAGAAGCATTTTGTGGCTTCCCTGTGTTAGACAGTCAGGCTTCATTGCCGCTGTTAGTAGGTCACTAACTTGTGGTCTTAACGATAACTTAAGGAGCCTTAACTTAAGGAGCGATAACTTTACATCTCCCGCGTTCTAACGATAAAATATATCTCCTTATCTTTACTGCACTCAAAAGTGGTTTGGAGGATCTCTTACAATCAGTTATAACTTAAAACTATGTAACCACACAAACTACATAACCATCAACGTAGTTAAGAATCGACAATGGATTGTTTTTAAAATAAAATACGGTCGCATTGAGAACCTCCTCCTCTTTTGACTGGTTCACCGCAAATAAGGTCGTTTGAAAACCTTGACAGCTATAATAGACCAAGTAAACCCAGAAAGCAGCGGTATATCATCCTCTTCATCATTTCATTATAAAAGTTAGGCAAAAATAAACAACCAGAAGTGTTCATTGGCGTATTCATTGATAACCGCCAAAAAGAAAAGAAGAAGAAGCAGCGGTATGCAAATATGTTCAAAGACTTTTGAATATTCCTACAATATGGCCTCAATTCGTCTACAGCCTCATCTGCCTCTAACTTCAGATTCAGATACAAAAATCGGATCTTAGCTTGTCGGCCTAATTTAAGTACTATATTTTTATAATGAAACAGTTGTTTTTCTTTGCGCAGGCATGGTTGGTGCGCCCGATGTCGTCAAACCGTCAGACAAAGTCGAAGAATATTCGCCCCACGTCACCGGGAATCCAGTTTTCACTATCAGCGGTGAGTACTACAAGATTGTTTAAAATAAACTGTCAAGAGTTTTCCTATTAAAAAAAGTAAGCTAATCTGTTCTAAACTAACCTATTATTTGATTTATCTCATTGTGGAACCGATAGCCTTGTCCTTTAGGATGTCGACTAGAGATCCGACGTAGCCAATTTGAGACGTCACGACGATTTAAGACGATGATAACAAATCCAATAATACAAAAATTGAAATACGACATTGGTCGATAATTTAATTAAATTAAATTGAGTTAAAGGAATAATATTTTGAATCAAGTTACAATTGAACATGGACAGACAATCAGTAATTTTGTAGATGACACTAATAAGTTTGATAATAACTGGATAGCACTAAAACTTATCACCTCCTTATCCTTAAAGCTGTGATGTCGTGGGGGCTTGTAGAAGTACAGCCTCTTCATATTTCTGATAACATGCATCAATTAGGAAAATCCCGTTCTCATAAAGTTTGCGTAACTAACTTTGGCGCGGTCGTAAATAAACGAAAGCAAATGTTGTTTTGTTATCGTTTCATATCCAATTGCAAACATCCAACGAGAGTTGTAGACGGCACGTATGGCAAACATAAACGGAAGATTACGGGCATCGCGACAAGCAGCATTTATGTAAACGCATTGGTATTGACAGATAAAAAAGTTCAAGAAAGACGCAAACACAAAAAAACCGGTCTACATGACATTAAGTCATAAATTATATTAACTATATACTCAGAGAATGTAATTCTCTGTTTCTCTTATATGATCGATCTATGTCATTTTTGAATGAATGAATGAATGAATATTTTTATTTAGTTCCAACAACAAACGAAAACAATTTCATTACTAAATACTTATTAATAACACGTTAATTGACACGAAAATAACTGTGTTATCGTTATGAATTCAGGTTGTATTGTAATGTAAAATAATTAAGATCTTTTTGAGGGCAACCGAAGGAACTTCGTATTCTTTAAGGTTGTTTTGCTCACATAATTACACCCAGTGTTCAAATCCCGGTAGTGATTCAAATTGTTAACGTTTTGTATGAATTTTGATCGCCCCTCAACGACGTGCTCAGCGGCGACGTGAAATAATGACAGGAAACGTGCAATTTAGAGATACGTAAAAAATATTCCAAGGGTAAAAGTTCGCCAACTTGATTGCTGTTATGTTTGCTGAGGAGAATTTGGAAAATCGTTGCCAACCCTCGAATAATATCTATTTGAAATTGTTTATTGAAGTAGAAATGTCATAGATAAATAAAAGAATACGAGAATGATATGTATAATTTTTTTCGACGGATAAAATTTATGTACCAAAGGTTATTTATTATATTTATTTAGTCTACACTACATGGTGCTTATAACAATAGCTGAATTTCCTCCCTAAATAGATTTACTTAGTCTTTGATGTTAAAACTAGCAATAATGTCAGCAGTCACAACAATGAGTTGAAATTTCATTCATTAAAAAAATCTTGTGTGGAGACCACACGCACAATTTATAAAGCTATTATGACAAACGCATGGTGTGCGATGAAGGAGTCATATTGGCGCCATTTATGATTCATAAAACATGTCAGTCGTTACTTAAACAAGTCTTTTCTAACATATTCCAATACGTGTTAGGGAAAGGACATGATAACATACACACTTCACATCTCTCGCTTGATGTCTATCGCCTTATTTAATTTCCCATTTCTCGTTTAAAGGCCAGTCATTTTTCGGTTTGACTTAAGGCCCATTTACACGATGCCATTTTCTTGTACATACAAGAGCAATAATTGAATGCAATAAGTTGCACGCAATAATTGACCATCAAGAATTGTAAGCAACAGTTTACACGCCGATATAGTACAAAAAATTGAATGCGTTTATTGAATGCAAGTCTTGACAAGAAATAATTGCAAATGTCTTTTGTTTACACCAATGCAATTATGTTTAGGCGATTATTGCTTTCAAGTTTTGACTTGTCTAAACACATGCTTGTATGTGCGTGTACAATTTATTGGCGTGTTGCTTCAAGTATTGCACGTATTTGCGTTGACAAATTTTTCATGCAAGTGTTGAACGTTTTACAAAGGGCTATTTTAAAAAAAATATGGCTCAATAATAAGTGTTTAAGTTAGATTATGCCGATTAAATATATTTCATTGAGATTTATTTATTATAATCCATATATTATTATTCATATTTTTATCCAACTTTTTTTACGGCCTTTTCTCAATATTTCTATCCTCAAAAGAACAGCAACGATTAAATACCCTCACTCATTGCACTAATTTTTGCAAAGGAAGAGAGAATGCAATTGAATACAAGAATTGCTTGAGAAATTATTGTGTGTGCTGTTTACATCAAGGAAAGTTTTGAAACAAAACTTGAAGCAAGTCTTGTTCAACAGTCAAGAATGTGGAGATGTGGGATGTGAATGAAGTTATGTGTTGTTTAGACCATGCAACTCATTTATTGCTTCAATTTAATTGTATACAACAGGCAAGAAACTGGCACCATGTAAATGGGCCTTTATTTAATATCGTCGCTGTACCCACAGTTGCCTCGTCCTTGCTCGTCAAAAACACATTTTAAAAGATTACTGGCAAGCGATAGTAGGTACAGTGGTCGTGATAATAAAATCTCATCGAATATTAGAGCTGATTATTTACTTCTAATCGATCGATCTTAATTAATTGCGATTCAATTATATCGTTATATTGATATATTGATATAATACGAATTATTTTTATTATGAAAAACTTTTATTCGTGGTACCCGTAGCGATATATGAGTATTATGTAATGGTGGATAAAAAAATATATACAAAGTATATAATAGCACCTTGCCAAGTATGTCATTTGAGAAGTATGTCAAGCTGAGAGCACGAAGAAACTTTTGAGTATTGAGAAATTCCAAGCTCTTCCTTCAGGCTAAGATTTTTTTCAGTCAATTCAATTGGATTTTTAGCGTAAAAAGCAATTTTTCACATGAAGAAGGTGGTATGCCGTGGTCAGCTTGCCAATGATACTGTAAAAACGTATGTTACGATTTTATATATTTATGAAACCGCCCGCGGCGCAAACTTCATTTCCTAATGCGCGAGTCGATATTAAAAATATATAGCCAGGAGCATCGTTAATTACTAAAATTAATAATTACTAAAGTTAATTGTTAAAATACAAAAAGATGTTACTCATGCAATAGTTAATGAATGCTGACGTGATAGCTCAGTGTCCGGGCGCTCGCCTTTAATTCAGTATACTCGAGCAGCCTAAGTTCGGTCCCCGGTGAAGTTTTTAACTTTATGGCAACTTATGACGTGGTTAGCGTTGAATGAAAACATCGCGAGAAAGACCTGCCCATTCGTGTAACAGCGTCAACACTGTTTCGTGGCCGATAACTAATGTTTATTAATCGCGCATTGACGATTTAGTCATTAAAGAAATTTTTAATAAATATAAAATATGAAAACTAATTTAACAAACGCAATATAAACTTGCGTTTGTTCGTGGACGTCATGACGAATTTGTTGTTGTTTCTTCGAAATAGTTATTCTAATATACAATGAACGATAACTAAAAGAATGAACGATAATTAAAAGAAAGTCAAGGCAGAGCTATAAAAAAAATGGTATTAAACGGATAGGAATTTTTGAGCTTATTGTGTTTATGACGTGTCTATGACGAGACGAAAGCTGGCCAGTACCATATTTCACTAACATATATTTTGAAGGCTTCCGAAGTGTTTCAAGATCAGTCATTTAGAATCATTAGCAATCTAATTAACTGTATAAAATAGGTTTTACAGCTCTATACAGTAATAACCGTTTTCCTCATGTCCATATCCCGTGACCAGCCAATTGCCTGATGTTCACTCTCCTTAGGAACAATTATAACCTATATGATCTAGAACCGAAACAGTTACGTTTAACGGTGGTAGGGCCACGCAGCAGCCTCGGCTGTAATGGGCAGGCTCGTCCGGGTAAGTACCACGACCTCACTGAAGATCGACGTAAAGTGAAAGTATAATACTTTCGTTTGGTGAGCGAGGTGGCCGAAGCCCAATTTTCAAAAGGTTGTCAACGCATCTGGAACCCTCCGGTGTAGCAGATGTCCATGGGCGGCGGTATTCACTTAACATCAGGTGAACCGTGTGCTAGTTTGGCAACTTTTCACATAAAAAAAAAATTAAATAATTTAAAAGCTATCTGTGAGTCACACAAATACTTGTCCCGTGCGGGAATTGAACCCTCATCGAGGTAAGTAACAGCGCTATCGAGTCATCACATATTTAGCATTAATAATATATTTGTTTATATTTCCTTTGCAAAACATTTCAAAAGCTTTTCGCTCGCGGCTTCGCTCGCGTTGAAGCCCTTAAATAAATATCTTTCTTTAATATATATATATATATTTTAAAGTTTTTTTCAATTAAAAATCCTTGCCTATGTCTCAAGCTCTAAACTATCTGTGTACCAAAATTCATTTAAATCGGTTCAGTAGTTTTGGCGTGAAAGCGAGACAGACAGACTAAAGTAACTCTACTTTCGCATTTATAATATTAGTATGGACTATTAAAATTCAATGTTATAATAACTTTAGTGTGTCAAAATCTGTTTTATTTAATTCTTAAGAAAGAGAGCGGTGTATCAATGACGTTTTAATAAAGATAACGCATGTCCATACTGCGTGGAGTTAAAAATTTATCCACCTACAATTATATGACATATATAAGTGAATGTGACAGACGATTTAGAACTTGTAATATGGAAAGAGATAGCAGTCTATAGAATTGCAATCTAATTACACCAATTCGCGTAATTTGAGTGCCTCAGTTTCGGTGCGTATATAATATACCATTGCGTTGTATAAGTATAGGGGACCACTCAGCGACGTTAGGTTTGCCACATATCATATTTGAAAGACATGTCATATTTGGAGTTCTTGTCATAAGTGATATCAAAAGTCAATAGATTTCACTCCATTGCGAGGAAATGAGGTCAAA